CCCCCCCCCCCCGTACCCATTACTCAGTAGGATGATGCAGCGGCGTTGTGAAGGCTCTTGGCCTCGTTGGGGTCGATTTGATCGATTTCGAATGAACGGGACGTCTGCGGTTGACTATTGGAAGCCGCTCTTAAACATTTGCTGTTGTCACCATTTGATTTGAAGACGGTTCTTTCCAGGCACATGCTCTTCCCTGGCCCTACCCTGTGTGCAAGGAGCAGGCAACTCCCGCTCCTCTTCACGACGGTCTCGTCGTACGTAGCTTTGCAAAGCCATGATGCATGGCGTATGCATACGGAAGGAGTGTTACATGTATACTAGGCGGGAACTATTTTGATATCTCCTTCAATGGAAACCTACTCAAAGGTTCAGCAACTTAAACTATACTTCTTTCTACGCATATTGTACGAAGCACGGCAGTATTTTTGTGCTCTTGGTGATATGCGTGTCTTGTATCCGAAAGGGCAAATATTTGTGGGAAGACGATCATCTCGTGTGTGACGGCACGCAATAGCTTTAACTTTGACTTGACGGTCGACGAGGGAAAGGAGAACGGCTGAAACCTGCTCGCGACAAGAATTAATGAATATCAAGGAGAAGGCAAGCGCCGCAGAAAACACAAGGTGGAAACTCCTTCCTTCTGTGTGGCCGTCCTCCTTCCTCTGTGACCCCAGCTGTTTCCTTACTCAAGGGTAGTCTTTCTTGGGTTGTACGCATACTGCACGTCAAGAAATTGTAGAATGTCGAAGGTGGTACGACCGACGTCCAGCAAGAAAAATAACAACAGGAATGGGTATGATAGTTACGGTATGCAATTTTCACCACGCCGTTCTATCGGCCACTTTATAAAGGATGAAGATTCCCATCATGTAGATGTGTACCCTTGAAGTATGCGGCGGTAACATCTATGCGAGCAAGCGGTTGAAGAATTCTTCGCCACCAACCCCAAGCAGCTTCGTGTCGACGCATGTTTGGCACATCTCACCGGCAAGAAACCGGTGATGGTGTGGCAGCAACAAAGTATTTTTCGCCTGCATCTAGAAATCACACCCGCGAAGCATTCGTCAACCTTCCACAACATATGATAATAATCTTGGGCGAAATTTGCTGGTAACCTGGTAAACTTTCTGGCGCTAGCCTGTGGCTTCCGATCTCTTCGTGGGAGGAAAAAAAAAGAGGAGTGGCCAAAATCGGGAACACCCGGCCCCAATCCGGCCATTATCGGGTACACTTGTTTTACACAGTCGGCAGCACCCTCCTGGCGCCATCTGATTGGCCGACGACCGCCCCTACCCGGCCCTGACCCTATTCCCACCGGGTGCACCCGATCTTGGCTACTCACCCCCCGGAGGGGTACCCGATCTTACTCTCGCCTACCCGAAAATGGCTGGGCTATTCGACCAACAGACCACCAGCAGACCACGCTCACAAACACACGTCACCATCACCCCGCACTCGAGTTCCGACGCTTCCGACGGCGGGCGGAGGCGGACCTAACGCGGCTAACGCGGCAGAACTCTCGTTAGAAGTGGATCAATGGATCTCTCTCCTGCAACGCGGCGGAACTCTCGTTTGAAGTAGATCTTGCTCCTGCAGGTAGATTTCGCTCCTCAACCCACCAAGTCTCTCGTGGTTAATCTCGGCACTCGTGCCTGAACAGTCGACTGGCATCGGCAGAATATGAGCGATGAAGTAGAGAACACCGCGGTCCTCGCGCAAGGCGCGTGCTACTTCACCACCAGCCATCTTAGGACAGCGTTCATGCTGCGTGTACCACCACTCTCCCTATATTTCACCATCTCCTGTGGCAAGCCCGCAGTTCCTTGTCTCTCCCACGTACTCACGAGAGGTCGAAGTCAAGGAAATAGTATCGTTAATCTGAGGTCCCACGNAAACAAAAAAAGGGTACAAACCACTCGGAAAAAGAAAACAAAATGATAGAAAGAAAAGAACAGGTATCGCACCGACCGTTCGAGAAAAGAGCCCTCGGACACCGATCAAAATCAAACAAAACAAAAATAACAGAAAAATAAAGGAGGACGCTTCCCACACCCGCCACAAGAAAAAATCAAAGGGTAACGTACCAGCACCAGGCACTGCGCACCAGGGCATGGGAGTAACGGAGCAAACAATGTATGTATGTACGATCCTCTTCCTACACAACAATGTGTCATATATTACAGGTCTTGATCGAGACATAACCACGGCATACACTGCTTGCTGCTGCTGCATTGCTGTGTTCGAACGGCCCTCTGCGTACACAACAACGTGCCATACATCTCCGGTCTTGATGTGTCTAGAAATGTATTCCAGACGAAAGCGACACCCTGATGCTTCTGTGCCTGATGCTTCCGTGCACATATCTGAGCTGCGTCATGTATTTGTGTGCAGCTCAAGTGATCACGTGAGTGAGGTATTGAGAGGTATTCATCCACGGCCGCCCGCCTGGCCCTCTCTCTCCTCCCTCTCCGATACGAAACGAGAACCGAGAGAGTTCCGCCGTCGGCGGTGGGTTGCAGGAGGAGTCCTGCAGGAGAGAGGTCCACTGATCCACTTCTAACGAGAGTTCCGCCGCGTTAGCCGTGTTAGGTCCGCCTCCGCCCGCCGTCGGAAGCGTCGGAACTCGAGTGCGGGGTGTTGGTGACGTGTGTTCGTGAGCGTGGTCTGCTGGTGGTCTGTTGGTCGAATAGCCCAGCCATTTTCGGGTAGGCGAGAGTAAGATCGGGTACCCCTCCGGGGGGTGAGCAGCCAAGATCGGGTGCACCCGGTGGGAATAGAGTCAGGGTCGGGTAGGGGCGGTCGTCGGCCAATCAGATGGCGCCAGGAGGGCGCTGCCGACTGTGTAAAACAAGGGTACCCGACAATGGCCGGATTGGGGCCGGGTGTACCCGATTTTGGCCACTCCTCAAAAAAAAAAAACTCCCTACGGTGTTTGCCAAGATAAAAATGTCAGCGAGGAGTGTTCAGCAGCCGCTTCCCTCCGTTGGTGTTGCCGCCAGGCTACCATGCGCTTTCCACCTCTACAAGTGCGAAGTGGCGGGTTAATCACCCCGACTCGTGCGTCATACACCCGCAACAGGCAATCATTGTCCCTTTCCCCGCCTTACCTCTGTCACTCACTCACTCTCTCTCTCTCTCTCTCTCTCTCTCTCTCTCTCTCTCTCATTCTCGCANTCTCTCTCTCCCTCGTTGTTGGTTGTTGTATCGCTGTTCGGGTTCGCACCTCTCTCGCGCGAACCAGGCTCACCAGCTGAAGAGCAAGCGGCCACGATGGTGCACGTACCTGCAGAACAACGGGATCATGCTCTCGCCCGCAGCCCACAAGGTATTCCGCTGTGCTCTCTTGGTACAAGTGCCCCGTCTTTTGGTTGCTGTTTCTGTGGTTGTTTTCGTCGCCTTTAGTGGTCTTGCTGATGCTGATGCTGATGCTGATGGCGATGCTGATGATGATGTCCGGACGGCAGGCACAAGGTTGAGGTTTGTGCGTGTTGGCGCGTGTCACCCACGGTCGCCGACTGGGGGGTGCTCGAGCGAGGTGTCCTCGATGCCTATGCATACGTGTGTGAATGTTTTTGTCGTTCAATCTCAGGCTTCGTGTGTTGATTGCCATGTTTTTGTTCCACGGACGCTATTCAGGTGCGATCCCGCCGGTGGTCTTGGTCATTGTTGACGCCGGTACGGCGAAAATCCTCCACTATACCGTGGACCACTTGGGGAATGACTCTCGCCAAAAGAATAGAATCTTGTCGCCAACCGCACATTGACCGCTGATCCCTCCCCCCTCCCAAAACACTTCCTGTGTTGAATTTTGTCCAACAGGTGCACCACACCCCTCCCCACGATGACGAGTACTGCCTCCTCGGGGTCACCACCTGGCCGGTAACCTGGCTCGGACGCCGGAACCTGGGGTCGATATTTTGGATCGCCCTGTTCTTGGGGCTTACCGCTCTCGACACGGTTTGCGCGTCAAGGCTGCTGTCGATGGTGTTCGCGCGATAAAGGCGTTCCGACGATATGATTGGCTGCTGAGGCACGAGGGCGGGTGGCTCGATGTCTTCAGCTGGGAAATGGACGAAAGGGGTGGCGATCCCGTTTGAGGAGGGGTTCGACGGTACAGCACAACTGATGTTGGGCGGAAGAGAGGGTGGGACGCACATGGACAGGAAGGGAAGGGACTGTGGTGCGACGCGATGCGGCTGGCTGCTGTCGAGAAAGAACCGACGGGAGGGGCTGGCGTAGTGGTGCAATTTTACGATTGGCCGAAAACTAAACAGGGAAAAGCAGGGCAGGGATGGAACGAAACGAAGAGGCGGTGAGGTGCGATCGGTACGAAAGTCGCAGACCCACAGGGTGACCAATATTTTTTTGTGATCCATGGGTTCTTGATGTCGCATCTGTGTGTGTGTGTCTCTGCCCTGCATGCTTTGGGTTGTTTGTTTCTTGTGTGCTTGCCTAGTGTCATGTCGTGTGTAAGGCATCTGTGGTGTGATCGACAGCAGCGTGGCTTGGTTGAGACGTCGGAGGAGGTTAGCTCTTTGCTCGTCCTCTTGGAAAAGGTAGTTTCAAGGGAGAAGAGAGCGGCGTAGCGGACACACATGCCGCATCCTGTGCTGTGTCGGTATCGGAGACACAGCCTCCTCGTGTGGCCCGTTTCCACTCGGGTCGTTTTGCTAGGGAAGGTGGCAACGGCGCGAGTGGACCTTATCACGATTCGTAAGTTTGTCTTACCAGTTTAGTAGAAACCGGCCCCAACTACTACACCGGTAAGCGTATTAGCAGCGTGTACCGCTTTGCTTAGCTGCGCGAAACGTACCCGTTTGATCTGGACAAGGCTTAGTGTGATCGTTCGGTTTGGGGCTAGCGCACGGCATGTGCACCAATACCCCGGGGGCGTTTTGATGGCGAGCTAGCTGTGGTCTAACAGAGAACAGACAAGGGCAGGGACGAGGGAGAGCCCCACTTGGGCGCGCAGACTCTGCTGAGTGGCGTAGAACTAGGAGTGAGAGTGCACCTCGTTGCCGCGTCTTTTTTTTTTTTGTGGCAAAGTTAAAGTTGGTTCTACACTGAAAGCGTACGTTTCCTTTATCATGTCTTTTATCTCTCTTCGCGTTTGTCAATCTCCCTTTACTTGTCTGTTTTTCGCACAGGAGTATAGTATTGTTCGCGGTCAGAAATAGTGTTGGTGATTCAGACCCGAACACGAAGGTATGAGATTTAGATCAGAACCTTCAGAAGAAAAAATGTGCCAGAAACGTTTGGCAGCAGTTTTGGTAGCCGACCCCCAGGAGCCGTTTTTTTTTCTCGATAGTCGTCGATGCCAGTCTTGCTCTCGCAATTTAACCTTGAGGGTCGGAGATACACATATTTTTGTGTCGGGCTGTTCCTCAACATTAGTTTGCCATTCGGCTATGGTTTTAGTTCCGGCATCGCCCAAGAAGACGTGCGTAGAACGGTCGAAGCCTAGCGTGCAACTTGTTTTAACGGGGGAAGAGAGGGTTAGTCGATTTGTTGGAGTCGACACACTCACGAGGATTGCTGCACAGACACTTCTCGACTTGGTCGAGCACGGAACAATCCACGTGTTCCTCCACTGTCTTGGCCAGTGGGATTTAGAGAAAACGCGGCAGTTTTTGCATATGCGGCGTCCCCGAAACGCATCGTTTTTTTTTTCCGTCTTGCTCTTTTTCTTGCGCTTTTGTTTTTTAATCAGAGCGAAACGGCCGCTTCCTCATGTCGAGTAGAGGCGTACAGTTTGAGAAAATGGTGGGTTTCGTAATTATACTACTGTGCCGGCCGTACCGTTGTGGGTTCAGGCAGAGGATCGGGGAAAACGAAGAAAGGGTGTGGAGGGGTAGGGAGGAGTTGAAGTTACCACTAACGAATGCGGTATGCGCCCGGTCCTTTGTTATGGAGAGGAAGATTTTTTTTGAGAGTCAATTTCTTGCCTATAGCACATTATTCCTTGTCTCGTGTGTGGTGTGTTGTGCTCATTCGTTCTGCTGATTTGGCCCGCATCTATGTACCAAGATTCCTCCCTTGGTGTGTGCCTCTGTCAAGGACAGAAGAAGAGGAGGTTCTATTATCTTACCAGAGCTCAAAACGAGTATTATTGATGGCGAGACAATGTGCGTTGGGTGTCCAATCGTGAGCATGGGTTCGGTGTATTTCACCTTGTACTTGACAAGTGGTGGCGGCTGTGGGTATTCTCCGCAGCAGCGGCTGTGATGCATCGCTGGTGGGTTGAAGAAATGCGGGGAAAAAATGGACCAAAAAACTAAAAACTTGATTGAATAAATCTAGCGTTGGATAAACTTCAAGAGAGGTCGAAAAAACGTTGGTGGCAGAGAAGAAGCACTCCCTTACCCGTGTGTTCTGCCGCAGGGGTTGCTAGCGTTGCTGATGTCGTCGTCGTCGTCGTCACCACGACTCTGTAGGTTGGGTGGTCGGGGCCAGACGTAACGTCTCCCGGCGTGCTGTCAGTTGACAGGGGTCATCATCCTTTTCCGCGTCTGTCTACATGAATGTAGTCAGCTGCAAGGTTAACGAGTTCTGAGTGCAGCGACGCCTTTCTGTGACGGGGATACTACCGCCGTCAGGTGGTGAGTGAGCGTTCGTCCCCCTCCCCAGGCCGGCTCTTCAATCTCGGGTTCGTAGAGCAATTGATGCATGAACGCGTCGGGAAAGCTCCCGATAAGGAGAGCTCTCGACGAGAGAAAGCTTTTCCAAAATGTCGCCAGTCCTTTTCGGCGTTTGTTTTCAGCCTCTTGGTTGCGGAGCAATGGAGCCAGCCATGAAACCCGGCACGAGGGGTGTGTGTGCGACTATCCACTCGCACGATTACGGTACGGTGGTCGATATGATTTGCCAACGGTCTGGAGAGCGCAGCACGCACACTGCCGAGCAGTGTCTACCTGTGTGGTGCAACCATCAATCATCGCCGCTCCATCCTCTCGGGACGGTAACTATTGATATTGATGACTGTCTACAGCAGTACCTTCGTCGACATAACGTGAGACGGCACGATTGTTTCTCTTCCTTCGTGCTGTGGCACACAAGTTCTTTACAACTGCAGAAAGACACAGCTGTTTAGTTGCTGCTTTAGCGCTTGTGTTGTCGAGGTTCTCACCGGAACGCAGCACCAGCAACACGCTTTCCACGTAGACAGAGTGAGTTTTTTCTCGCTTATTAAATCCTGGTCTCCGTTGGAAGCGAGGCGCAGCAAAGCACGTTGTTAGTAAACTTGATAGACTTAATAAGTCGCGAGGGAAGGGATTGCTGTACCCTTCTCGCGATAAAAATATCTCAGGCATGAACCGCAGGAGGGGGTCCAGTCCCCCCCTCCCATCTATGTGACCCCGGTAGGGTCGTCTAGCTGATAGAAGTGGAGGATAGGGGCCAGAGGGGCAGACGACAGAGTCCAATGATGGGAGAAAAAAAAAACATATATATATATATATATATATAGTCCTTGTTGCGGCAAAAAAAGTAGAGCTAGGCCCAGCTGCTTGCTACCCTGCACCTGCCCCCCTGCCCCGCAAGCTGTTGCTCCCTGCGGTTTTATTCCCGCACACATCACACATCTGGTCGTGTGATACCACATCTGGAATATTCCACCCGCGGGATAAAAATCAGCACCGTATTAGGAAGCTACTCTAGACAGTTTTGCTCTCAAGCTCATCCAACCCGGAGTATCAACAAAGCCGGTAGCGTATGCGTCGGCCTGCGACAGGGAAAAAGCAATCTGCACTGTAGAGTGCAACAACAGTTTCGTATCATCCACCAACCTCCTGTAAGTCGTCGCTCGTACTATCGACCTACCATGCGTTGTGTGCCGAGGATAATGCAATGCCACCGGAACCGGTCTGCAAAAAATAACATCTCGTGGACGAAAAAACACATCCAAAGTCGACGTCCCAACACAGACTAAACAACACAAGAGTACGAACTAAAACATGCGCAGGTTGGGTTGTGTTTCCGGCAAAAACACTGAATGGGGTTGAAAATACGAAATATATACGATACGAAGTATCACTTTTCTATGGACACGCGATCGGCACTCGTCACTCCTGCTGTCTATGAATGACTCTAGGCATGGTCCTTGCGAGGCTTGTGGGCTACTAGCGTTGAGCTACTTATAGCCGTTGGGGTGGGCACTCTGCCATCTCCACGTGTCCGTGCACATGTCCTTAAGGCCACGCTTCGCAGTCCACCCGAGCATGCTCTTAGCTAGGGATGGGTCTGCGTACATGGCTTCCACATCTCCCGCTCTCCGCGGTATCACCTGCTCTCCAGTTCGTACACCATGACCAACGTCAAGGTTACAGATAGGGCGTGGGTGGGGGGTTGCGAGTGGTGGGTCAAGAGCGGAGTTGTTATCGCAAGCTGCCGTTTCCATGTTTTCGAAGAGGTGGCGCGTAAAGGGGCTGGCTTGTGGAGGCAGACTCCCGCCCGCACGACGCGACCGAACAAACGCGCAACAATTCAAGTCCGCGGGTTCTCCGCAATATGGGGGGGTTCTGCAGATAAGACTGCTGTGCGTGAGTGCCTACCAGATATACGGCTTCGAGGGCATCACCCATCTGCCCAACGGAGCATGACCGACACTACAAGTAGTGTTACCTTGTACGGGATGGGGTTCCCGCAAGCTTCCTCCATCCCCTTCACGACATCCATCACCGAGTACCCCGACCCTGTCCCCAGATTGACTGCCGCGCAGCCTGTGCACGCCTCTCTCAACTGCACAACGTCGGGTCGGAGAGAGGGAGGGAGGGAGGGAGGGTGGGGGGG